AAGCATTCTTACTTTACAGCATTTTTTCACACCTGCCTAAAACTTCTGCACAGTACTGTACATAGGCTTATTTTCAAGAGAGTCAGTATGGATTGGCATTGGGGAAATAGCCCATCTACCTCACAAGGTGGTTGCTGTGGAAAAAATAGGATGGAGCACTAATTATACCACCCTGAGCTCCTGTATGAAAGGCAAAATAAAAATCTAACAAATATAAACTTCTTCCTCATCCCTCATAATATTTCTGAATACAATGGATTCCAATAGTAGCTGCTACTGACCCCTTTACAATAAACACCAGAGATTCTGTGATGACATCTTTCTCTTTTTCATGTCCAGATTAGTCCTTAGCTCTTTGGATTTAAAAAAGATTGCTTCCAGATGTGGATGTGTGCATGCGTGTGCAGTCACCCTGCCCAAATTTTGGGCAGGTAAGAGCCACATATCTGTTTTCAGTACATGTTTATGAAGTGTAATTGTTGTCTCTAGATCTCTGCATTGTCCTATCCTCTACTTCCAAAACTATCCAGGGTTCTGATGATACCAGAAAGCTTTATAACTCTGAATGGTGCTTAGCCTGCTTCTCCTTTGCTCCCAGATGTGGAGCTGTTCTTCGTAAGACCCTTCCAGTTGGCTTCTTTTGTTTCAGTTCCTCCATGGTGGAGCCTTCTGTGGGCTTCTTTGTCACTGCTGCTTCTGCTTTCTTTTCTCCCAGGACCTCCTCCTGATGGGTATTTATACTTCCCTGAGTATAAATAGTAAATTCAGGCAGTGTGGGTTCCATCATACTCAGAAAGTCATAGGCAGGAAGGCGGGGCTTCCACTCTTCATCAGACAAAGTCGCTGAGAAGGGAAAAAGCACACATCAACACGTTACCAGATTGCCTACTGCAGCATTCCCCAACTTGGGCATACCACAGATATGTAGACTTCAGTTCCCACAATTCCCTAGGCAGCTGAGAATTCTGAAGTCCACATTTCTGGAGGAAGTCTGGGTTGTGAAGACTGACCTACAATTATAAACAGTAGGTCAATCTAACAACATAACAATCTTAACAACATAAAGAGTTCTCTACTTCAGTATTCAGTTTTCAACAATAGCTGCTTTCAGGAAGTCTGCAAGCCATATTATGAAGGCTCTGGGACTGTGTAACAGCCATCTAGTAACTAACATAGGTGTCCACCCTAATAGTCATGATAATGTCAAAATGATGAAATGTGCACTGTGACATCACAATGCAAATCCCACTCTTTTGTACTTGCATTTCATACGTTTCCTCCTTGCCCTCCTGCAGACACCTATGGTGGAGGGTCATCCCAAGCGGGGCTGCCCTTGAAGCTGGTCCAGAATGCAGTGGTGTGGGCAGTGATGGGCATGATGGGCAGTGATGGGCTTCACAAGTTGTGCTGGTTGCCAGTTTGCTTCCAGGTGTGATTTAAGGTGTTGGTCACTACCTATGGCATAGGGCCTGGTTACTTGAAGGACTGCCTGTCTCCTATAGTATATGCCTGACTGGTTTGATCTGGCAGGGTTGGCACACTCCAGAGTCCATTGATTAAACAATGCCCCCTATCGGGAACCTGGAAGCGTGCCTTCTCTGTAGCAGCTCCTGCCCTCAGTTACCCCAGAGATAAGGTTCCCCCAGAGATCCGAATGGCCCCCACCCTACTAGTGTTTCGAAGAGCCTTAAAGACCTGGCTCTTCGCACAGGCCTTTCTTGATGCCCCTGTTTTCCTTTCTGTTCCCCTCTGGGTTTATTTTCTTTGCCATTGTTGTTCCTTTGTCTTGTGTTTCGTTTCATTGTCTTTAAATGTTTTAACAATTGTAAACCACCCAGAGTCATTGGGAGTTGGGCAGCATATAAATTTAGTAAATTATTATGATTACTGTTACTATTATTATCCCACCTACAATGATGTTTTTGTCATAGGTATTACAGAAGCATATCCTACGTTGCAACAGTATGCTTTATTATATTGCCTGGCCAGAAAGAGTTAACAGGCAACCATGGGAAGCAGAGATGGAACAAATGTTTGAGATTTAAAATAATCAAAGGCTTATAAAAGCAAACGCTACCCACAAATTTTATTTATTATTTTAGTGAGAAGTATATATACCTTGCTTCAAGTGCTCTAGTCAAATTACTTGAAATATTACTAAAACTAGACCAATGAAAAACAACACAATATCACTCTTTAGCTCATTCTTTGGCAACTTCTCTTTTTTTTCCAAGCGGTTGGCTATGGAGAAGGGAAATATAGCTTGGATGTTATCTCTGAACTAATATCTTGCAGGGCTCTGAGCATCTCTTGCAAAGGGCCACATGAAATTAGTCCATGGGCCACGTGTAGCTTGAGGGCCAAGTGTTGCACACCCTTGATCTAAATGATATTGTGTGCTCCGCACTGGTTTAATTAATAAATTAATTAAAATAGATAAGGAGGAAATGATGGCTTTCATGAAAGGAGAAGAAACATCTGATCCTCCAGATGTTGCTGAATCACAAACTATACCATCTATCATTATTATATATGATGGCTGAGTTGGAGTTTAGCAAGATTTTAGGGCCTACATTAATGAGTAGCTAAAATGAACAGAAATAGAAATAAAGAGTTTTTCCTTTCCTCTTGTTGATGTTTAATTCATTGTGAGTTTTTGAAAACTATCTTTTCTTTCCCTTATTTTGGAATTTAAGGTAAGCTTCATTCTATCCTAGCCTGGGATGATTTCATTAACTTCTCTGCCTACCCATTCTATTATTGTTGAAACATTTTTAAATGTGGAGGATTAATAGCTAGTAACATTCTATGGATTGTTTAAAACTGTTCATCGGCATTTGGCAGGATGTATTTTTGTAATTAGTAAGCAGATTTCCTTAAACTGCTATTCACATTTGGACACTCCTATAAGTTGATATGTCCTCCACTCACTGAGAACTTGGATTCTCTTGTGAGAAGTCACATTCATACTGGGAAATCTTAACTCCAGATCCACAACTAAAAGAACAATTTGCTGGCATTAAAAATTTCAGAAGTATCAGTAGTGCCAAATCATGTGTCTTGCAAGAATAGGTGATTCCCTAAGCGAAAAAAGCAACCTAGGGTGTCATGTGAACTTGCTGTTAAGCAAGTTTTACCTTCCCAACGTGCCCAGAACAGCTGGAAAAAGGGCATAAAATTTCAAGCTCTTTCACTTTTTCTTAAAGCAGTCAAAGCCCTTTAGATATTAAAATGTTCCAGCTTCATTCCACTTTTAAAAACAGAAAATTCCCCAAATAAAATAAAATTGTTCTTTAGGGATGTACAGATTCTTGTAGTGAGGATAAAGTAAATAAGAACCTCTTCAAAATTGATTACAAGACAAAAAAGGGAGAATGAGGAAGGAAGGAAGAGGAAAGAAGGGATAAGGGAAAATTCTCAGAGAAGATCTTCCAAAGAGGATATTTGCCTGGCCCTCACCATCCATGGCTGGATGTAATGAGAACCAAGGGGTTCAATCCACTCCTAGGAGACTATATGGCTTCCTCCTCCTTGAAGCATCTTCTCTTTCTTTACAAAGTCCAAAACCTCTTATAGTGTGATGTCGTCTTCACTTGACAGTTTCTCCCTCTAACTGGTTCCTTCACACCATTCTCTGTATCTGTAGCTAACCTTTATCTTCTTTCAAAACCCTATCCTGCTCTTATCTGTACAAATCATTTTTTTCTACCTGTGCAAGCATTTCTACTAGCAACAGTTTGTGGTTTAAGATTGTGGTTCCAATCTTAGTTGTTCTAAAATGTTGTGGTCAACAAGCATCATGTATGTACCTACAACATCTAAAGAAGAAAGGAGAGACAAGATGATTCAACAGCCCTGTACTTTTTGCACAGTTAACTGAAAGCAAAGCAAGAATCAATGCATCTGATATGGCTTCTTTCATTGTACCTATCACCATCACTTTGTGTTTAGACTATTGCAATGGTATTTACATGGCACTGCCCTTGAAAATCATTTGGAAGCTGCATTTGGTTCAGAATGCAACAGCCTGACTACGGCTGATTTTAGCCTATAAACCCCTACATGACTTAGCATCATAACTGAGCTTCTCCAGTTCAGTTTTATTTAATGTCTGAAACAGTGAAAACAAATTGAATAAGAGACCAAAGCATGTTTGATTAATTGTCACTGATGACTTACCCCTTGGAACGTCTTGTTTGATCTTTAGTTTTTCAATCCAAGCAAGGATACTCGTTTCAGAAATTGACTGATCTGAAGGAAAAACAAAGACATGGCCTCCAGAATGAAGGCTGATCCAGAGGAGGAGAGGCACAGGAGGAACCAAGTTTCCAAAATAAACCTTCAGAATACTTCTGCCTACAGGTGTGTTCTTACTAGGTTAAGAAGAGCACAAAAAAACAACATTTGATCAATGCTAAAAGAAATGATTCTCAGTGGTTCTGCAGAATTTTACAAGGGAGATTCAAAGTTGCAGTGTTCAGTCTGTAACCTTCCCATGCCTTTCTACTATGATTTGCTTTTCATCAGAAAAATAAAATCTGTTGAAGTGGGAAAGACAGAATAGCTGTTCAATGGTTTTTGATTGGAAATGCAAGATATACATTTATTTGAAAGAGATTCTTACTAACATTAAAACTCTTCCAAAACTGAGCTCATTCTTTATACTGATTTTCATTTGAAGATACTGTGGTTATTATGGTTCATTTTTAGCCGTGGGAATATCAGCCATATAATGACTTAAGTTGCAGAAGAACATTTCCACTGAATTCTGAAAATATCACATTCCGTTCCCCTTTTTATATCTGGATTTACATATACTATACACACATGCAACCTCCAAATCATGACAAAGAGGCAAAACCAGATTTAAGGATTTTTTTTAAGCATTCTTACATTATAAGACAAAGTTCAGCTTTCAAGTCATTTGCTGTACACTGGAACAACCAAATAGCCTTAGTTCCTTGGTACAGAAGATCAGAACTCTTCAGAATTCAAGCACATCAGAAGGAGCAACATACTGCCAGGAGGTGCCTCCCTAGCTTGTCCTGTGAATAAGTTCAGAGTCAGAACCTACTTTTCTCTTTAGCAGTGGTATTTTGGGTACACAGACAGACTTTCCTGGCATTATCCCTGTAGTCTTTTTGGTACTAAGTGAACATATTTCTGCTCACCCAAGCCTTTTAAATGAACTTATTTAGCCTAGAAGTCTTACAGTTTTAAATCTAATACTTTTATTTTGGCTGTTAATTTTGTTTTGATGTCCTTCGTTATTATGTCTGTTAACTATATAATGTTATTTTTCCTATTTAAATCATTGCAATGTTTGTTTACAGCAGTGTTCTCAACCTTGGCAACTTCAGGATGTGTAGACTTCAAATTCGAGAGTTGGGGCTGGGGAATTCTGGGAGTTGAAGTCCACACATCTTAAAGTTGCCAAGGTTGGAAAACACTGGTTTACAGTGTCTAAACAACTTGGTTAAATCTCACTGCTATTAACTTAAAGAATATGCTAACTACAGGTTGTCCTCGGTTAACAACCACTCATTCAGTGACTGTTCAAACTTACGATGGTGAGGAACAAGTGGTACTTATGACCAGTCCTCATAGTTCCAGCTGTCACAGCACCCCCACAGTCACGTGATTGTGATCCAGATGCTTGGCAACCAGCCCAGATTTCTGACTGTCACAGCATCCCATGGTCACACAATTGTGATTCGTGACCTTCCCTGGGGCTTCCCACAACCAAAGTCAATGGAGAAGCCGGCAGGAAGTCAGAAGTTGTGGTCACACGAGGTCCTTGCTTAATGACTTGCAGTGATTCACTTAACAACAGTAACCTGGGACTGCCAGAACTGCTGTTGCTAAGTGGCATAGTCATGTGATGTCACGCTTTATGACCACATCACTAAGCGACAGAAATTCCAGTCCCAATTACTGTCATTAAGTGAGGACTACCTGTAACATTTCCTAGCACAAAATTCACATTACATTATTCACCTCCAATATGTTCAAACTAATGGGAAAGGCCCACATATTGTAAACTACCCCCAAATGGAGGTCAGCATGGGTATATTGCAAGCTTACAGGTTTAGCCAGCAAGCAATAAAGGTTTTGTGGTGCTCGCCGATAGCCACACGCTTCATTTCTTCTTCTTCCCTTTTGGCAGGAACTCCGTCACTGAACAAAATGAGCAAAGGTTTCTTCAGCTGGAAGTAATCAGGCAGGCTTTCCACTGTGATTTCTGGCTGCAACAGGGAAAACATCAAATATAATACAGAAAAATGCTCCAGCTGTTCAACATTCAAAGAGGGCACCTTCAGTTCTAGTAACTATGTCCCTGGAAGACACTTTCAGCTTTTTTTTTTTTTTGCAGCACAAACCAAAAGCCCAACCCAGCCCAGCCCACCCCCACTCAGGAGCACAGTGCAAAGGGATGTTTTAGTGCGCGGCACTCTTGGAGCTTTTTGTAAAGGAGTTTTTTTGGCGTGTCATGGCTCTGGGGGTGCTTTTGGCTTTTTTCTTTTCACAGGGCACACCTTGTCAGCAGTGGGAGCAAGAAGACGGTGAAGGTCAGCTGGAGCGACAACATGCAGGGGAGCAGGGGTCTCAGAGTGCAGGGTGGTGAGGGCAACTGCAGCTGGGACTGGGCTGGGGTGGCTGCAGCTTCCTGGGGTGTGGTAAGCAGCTCCAGAGCCGCGCAGTTCTGGGGCTGTTGCTGCCCTGCAAGGCAGGGTGCAGGGCGGCCAGAAGGACAGAGATGCGGGGGGAGATAGGCAGGTGGGGAGTTGGAGGCCTAACTGAGGCTTGGGGCTGGGAGGGACCCAGCCTGGAATGGCTTAGATTGGGATGGGCACTTGCTTAACGACCCACGATTCTCTGTTAACGATGGCAACTGGGACTGCTGGGATTGCAGTTGCTAAGCAACACGGTCACATGACATCTCACTTTACAACTGCATCACTTAGCAATGGAAATTCCAATCCCAATTGTGGTCATAAGTTGAGGACTACCTATGAATAAATAAGAGATCAGAAACAGAAAGTATGCTCACAAATGTCTCCAACAATGCATGGCGGATTACTTTAACAATGTCTTGCGTGTTATACTGTGAGAGGTGGATGGCATTCCTTTGCTGAGTTGCAGGCTTAGCAAACAGAAGTGCTGGAAGAAGTACATTATATTTATGGGAACTGGGGGAGAAAAAAAACAGAAATATATTTCAAAGATCTACCAAAATTGCTCTCGCTATTTTACTGAGAAATCTTAGCCAAATCATCAAAGGAGCCTTAGTTAACTTGAACCAATTATTGAATTAAGACTGTATGTATGTGCATATGAATACAATACAGTACTAGACTTCCTTGATGATATACAACATAGTACGTGTCATCTTAGAAAATGCACTGCATCTTGCCTAAGGGAGAAACTGGAACAGCCCTGGAAAAATAGCATTTCTTAGAACCAAACACAAATCTGCTGTCCCATTAATCAATAGCATTAATCAATGGCATTGTGAATTGCATTCAGTTATGCATGTCTCTCTTTAGAAAGGGGCTTCTTAATCTTTTTGTGCCATGGAGCCATTTGAGAATCTGGTGAAACCTATGGGCATTAAAATGTATTTACTTGCATAAAATTAGTATATATTGCATTACAAAGAAAACCAATTATCCTCAAGTACAATTATCAAAATATTTAAAAAACAAGTATGTAGTATGTGCTTTTTAATTCATCCATTACATCAATAACAAGATATTGTCCTTTCTTGGGACATAATAATTTTAGATAACAAGATTTAACAAACATTTTTTGAATTTAGAGGCCATAAATTACTTCACTGCATATGTACATTAATGAATAAAAAGCTAAATTTCAGTTAGAGGTTAGTGAACATCATTTTGGTTTTTTTTTTTCCATCCAAGTTTGTGAACCCTTGAAATTTATCTGTGGCTCTCCAAGAGTTCTATAGACCTCAGGTTAGGAAACCCTGCTTTAGAGATAACTTGAAATGGGTCTCCATCAACAATGAAAAGGAAGAATTCTTTCCAAATCTAGCCTGGCCCTAAAATACAACAATCAACCAATTAGTTGGTTCAATATCTGGTTCAAAGCAAGGAAAAAAGCAACATACAGAACTGCAGCATCCTCTTCATAGTAGATCCTTGTTGTGACATATCCGTTTAGGATTCTTCCAGCTTCAATGAAAGCCTCTCTCCCTGACAAAACAAATTAAGCAGCCTTAAATATAACATAAGGACCAGATTTTTTTTCTTACCCCTGGCAAAATTTATCAGACTTCAGTCAAAAATTCACAGACATAAACAGTAAATTAATTAAGAGTGTATTATACAGGACTGCTTTTCACTGCAAAGAATCCCAAGGCTATTTTATAAATACTTTATTTGGTTGTTTGGTTGTTTGTTCAATGTATATAGCCAGTAAATGAAAGCCTGAACAAGAACAGTCCACTGAAGCAAATGTGAGAAAATAGGTTTTAGGAAAAGCCAACCAAAAAGGGTAGGTATGAAATAGAAAAGCATTAAAAAGGTGAATGGTGGGGCATGGTACAGCACACAAGAGAAATCATTTCACAGGACAGGTGCCAGAACAGAGAAGGCCCCTCAGTATATTCATACCACAGAGCAATTTTAAAGCATAGGTGGGCCAACAAGAGCACCACGACAGCCTATTTTTTATTTTTTTCAATTGCACAGGTGGAAACCAGTAAACTGCAGCAGGTCACTAAGAGGAAGTCTTGTTCTTTCTGTCTTATAGTGACCTTTTTCAATAATGTTATTTCCTTCAACCCCCTAAATCACGGGTGGTTATTAATGGAGTGCCCTCCATTAATTGGTTAAATTGGTTAACAGAACTGGTTAAATTTATGTTATATACAGGCCAAGGATACCTTCTTTCTCCCTTTTTTTAAAAAATGACTTTAGAACATCTTGCTGGTATTATTAAGTAATTGAAATCACTAATGGAATTATAACAAGGGGTATAATATAAGATGCTACAGAATAAGATGCATATACAGTATGTGCTTTACAGAAATTTTTATTCATAATCTCATTTCATCAATATATGAGCTTGGCATCCTGTCTGTTTATTTGAAATCTGAATAAATCAGACTTGCTGCCAATGAGTAATGACAAAAAAATTAACCCATAAGAATTGAGGGTTCAGCTGTATTCTGACTCCTGGTCTGGGTATCAGAACTACCAGGAAACTTTCTCAGATGTTAACTGAATTTATCCTATTTTGATTAAAATGAAATTTCTTAAATAAGAAGAATGTAATTCCAAGACTGATTTATATCATCAGAAGCCCCCTTATGCATATCATGTCACAGTATTTTTAAACAAATACTGTATACAAGATGTTTAAATAATTTCTCTGACCAGAGTATACTGTGAGATGTTCATTGTGCAAATTGCCATTACTTGTTGAGATTTAACTGTCCCCACTTGAGGGCTGTCACTGAGCATTTACCCCTAGCATTGATCATCAGCCCTTGATCCAACCAATAACGCAGCCCTCAAGGCCCAAAAGATTGGCCCTCTTTGGGGATAGACAGTATCAGCAGCCAGTGCCAAAGTCCCTTCTGGAGGACCTGATGTTCAAATTATGACTGGATATTTGGGTTTTAACAGCTCCATACCCTTTACAATGGAAAATATGCAGGGCCACAAAATCTCTGGAAAACACCAATGAATAAAATTCAGTTGCTCTTGGCTTTTCCTATAATAAAAGGTGAGGAGTAACCAAAGCCCCAGACAATTCCCCAAAACAATTCTTACCGAACCAGTTTCAATTTCTCCTTAAAAGGTGAACAAAACTTTACAGAACCATTGCTCCAAAGTGCTCTCTAGGAATATAAGAAAGATTGAAGGGTAGCTGTAGCTGTGGAACACTCATGCTTCTATTGGAGAAGCACTGTTTTGCTTGGACAACTGCTTACCTTGGGCAACTCAGGCAGGCACTGCATCTGAGATTACCTAAGACGGGGGACAGACAATAGAAAGCAGAGGAAATGCCTACTCCCCTCAGCTGCCTCTGGAGTCACCTCAGCAGGAGCTGGGTGCTTGCAAGGGGTAGGTCTTTCTGAGCTTGTGGGCCCTTATCAGCTGCCTGAGTGTGTCAGTCTACTTACAAAGAGCCGTTCAGAGCAAAGGCCATTGCTCAGTAGCAGAGCACCTGCTTGGAATGGAAAAGGTTTCAGGTTTCACCAGTTGAATGGATCAAGCAAGGAAAGGTCCTTCTGCCAGAAGGGAAAAAATCCAGGAGGCCAGTGGTTCAAGGCAGCAACGCCAGGCCACTAAGGGACTAGCCAACCCCATACTTGATGATCCCCCTCCTCGCCCCAAGCCAGATGGCAGAGCCAGGTCTTCAGATCCCTCCAAAAGGCCAGGAGTGAGAGGGCCAATCTCACCTCCAGGGTCAAGATATTCCAAAGGGCAGGGGCTACAGCAGAGAAGGCCCGTCTTCTGGACCCTGCTAGTCAGAGTTCTTTTGCCGAGGGGGTCCGGAGCATGCCCTCTCTATGTGATTGGGTGGGATGGGATGAACTCATGGGGGAGAGGCGGTCCCTCAGGTAACCTGGTCCCATGCCATGTAGGGCTTTAAAGGTGATAACCAACACCTTGAACTGAATGCTAGTCACAATAGATTTTCCTGAGCCAAATGGATGAAGAGACTGGCCTGATATTAATAACAGCACCTCATACTCATAAACCACCCCTTTGTGTTAAATCAATCAGTCCATCAGTTTAACATTTGGCTTTGGGCCAAATGTGACATATAGATCTTTTTGTTTACCAATCTCTGAATCTTGAATAACTGAAATAGTCATTTATCAGTTCTCCCTCTTCCAGCCTTTAGCTCACCCTTAATGACATAAAACATTTAGTGCAATTTTGAGGCTCATTATCAAAAAGGATGAAAATAAATCATTAGTAATTATCTGACAGTCTCAACTCAGTTTCCTGCAAAAACTAATCTGTTTATTTCTGTACAAAATTCAGTTTTTCACCCACCCATCAGTTCAACAATCAGCAGAATCTAGAGCCAAGCACACAAATGCTGTTGCCCCCATTGTCTTGGACAAGCATGAACTTTCCGAAAAGCAGGAAGAACATTAAAACGCATAATGCAGTTCCCCTTCAGTTCTTGGATGTGACCCAAAGGAACCTCCCAAAGTTACTGCTAAATTGTAGTTTTTAATGTGACAGAAGAGGAAAATTAATAAATACTATTGGGAATAATAAATTTAACTTAGCTTAGTTTAATTAAATTCAGTCTAATTTAGCCATGTTCTGGTCCCGCCCACTTTTTGGAATGTAGCCCTCAATACGCCTGTAGTGACAAGGCCAAGGGTGATCCTCAAGCTTCCATAAATTGGGAACCCCTGCTGTCAACCCTTGGATATGGATCCCAGACAAACACTACTTGCCAACATAGCCACAGTATGGGCTCACAAGGTATATGGGGTAAAGGCAAGATGGCAGGCCTTCTATGTGATAACTGCCAGTCTATGGAATACCCTCCCCCAGAAGTCTATATGGCCTCCATTTTATTTATTTATTTATTTATTTATTTATATTTATCATATTTATATAGCCACCCATCTCACACAAGGTGACTCTGGGCAGCGTATTGATGTCTTGGATTTTACTGATGTCTTGGAAACAACTCACAGCAGTTCTATTCCAATGAGCCTTTGGCCGCAGTTAAGTGCTGTGGGCACCTACTATATCATGAGTGGTTTTGATGTTTTATGATGAAGATGAATTGTTTTTGTTTGCATTTGTTGCTGTGGAGTCCTCCAGAATTGGGATGTGTATATCTACTGTTAAACAGTCATGGAGAGGAAAGGAGAGCTTCCTGTCTGCTAGAGTAGTAGAGAATCGGGGGAGGGGGGCAGGTTGAAGTACAAAGGGCAGTGACTCTCAGCGTTAGGCCTTTCAAAATCATGTGCACTGTCAACAGTCAAATCTATGACTATGTTTTGGCCAAGCCTGACTCTCTAAGAAGGCAGGGTTTCTCCCCTGAGGTGGCAGAAGTAGACAAGTTCTGGTTCACACATCCTTCCCAATCACAACCACCTGCAACAGACTCTCCCATTTTTTTCAGTCAGGTATGGCAGTTGCTATTTCCAACAACCAACCCCACTCTTGTGGAGTCACCTCTAGGTGTCACACTTTAAATGAAGAAGGCAAGCTTTGAGCATGTGCTACAGACAGCCCTTTTATTTGCCTTCCTGATGCAGCTCTCTGCAGCAGCCAACACATCCACCATCGCCATATCTTAGGAACTGCATCTCCCAAGATTCCCAGCTAGCAAATTTGGGAGTTTCTG